CATAAACTCGCAAACAAAAGAACGAGGCCAATATCCAGCCATCTTGACCAAACAAGCTTGGTCAATAAAGAATTTATTATATGGCTTTCCGGGAAGTTTTTCTTGCGGGACACGGCGGGTAGTTCCGAGCGGGCAAGATTGCTCCATCTTGCCCGCTCGGGTGGCCAATCACAGCGCTCCTCGCTTAACGTAACACTGCGTCAGTTCAGCATCACTAGGAATCATACCGCCCTGGACTCACACAACGCTCACTTGACGCTTTCATGAAAAAATACGTAGTACGTGTCTGAGAATTCATTTATTTTTTGCTTTTCTCGAGACGTGAGCTTGGGACGTCGGTGGATTAAATGACTCCAAATCTGGTATTCGTTTAGCTCGTTAAAAAACGGAAACACTCATGATGCTAGTGAACTTACATTCTCCGTGGACATGTAGATAATGTTACGCACGACTAACGCATTATTTCAATAGTTCATAGCAATAAAGATATGACTGATCGTTGCAGTTATACACACAACTTAAGCAGTCGTGAAATTAAAGCCTGAAAAAAATTTAGGCCTAAACGGGATTCGAATTCATCACCTCTGCGATACCGGTGGAGTGCGCTACCAACCGAGCTATCAAGCCAACTGTGCTGGTCATATTGTGAGGAATACAAATGAATATACCTGGCATAGTCAATCGAATCCAATCGAACTGTATTTCAATCAAACTCAATCGACCTAAATCGAACTTAATCCATGGATTGAGATCGATTGAGTTCGGTAATCAACCCAATTCGAACTCACACAAAAGTAGTTGAACAATCGAACTAAATCGAACTTTTAATTTCTGAAGTCTTGATATTGGATTCGTGAGCGTTCTAAATCGGGTTTTGAAGCCGTTTTGAAGGGCATTATTCAGCAGTTTTGTTTCCTTTCAATTGGTTGCTAGGTGTACCTTGTACGTGCTGGTAGATTGGCCTAAATATAATAAATAGCAAACGTTACGTTGACTGTGAAACTTGCATAACACATTGGTATAAATAACGACGGTACTGGGAACCATGCATTTCGACATAGCCATTGACCTGATTAAAACAACTTTTAAGAAAGTGGACTAAATGGATAAAGCACCGTACATTTTGCTCGTAAGTATATATTTTCCTTTGAAAAAGAAATAATTTAAAGCAATTTGTGTTATAGTTTTCATTTCTAGTTTTCTTCTACCTTTTTTACCTTCGGTACAAATTTGATATTTTCGTTAGTTCTGCTGAAAGGAAAATACCAAATTGTACCAAGGGTTATTTTGAACCACAACATTAACATTTATAGCCCGTTAGCCAGTCATTTCACTTGAACAGTCCATAATTGATGCTTTGTAGCTTAAGATGGGTAAATGAGAAGGATTTCGGTCCTTGGCAGTGTATTGAAACAAGTTTTCTCTTATCTATACCATGTTCTGAAAACACCCCTTCAGTGGCACGGGCTTGACTGAAACATGTGCATCCGTTTATTTGTAGATTGTAACCGGGTATACTTTCTTGGTGGGCTCAGTGGAGACCAAGTCACAAAGTGCTTGCTTCAGCTCACTTTTCATATATGAAAGAGAATGTGGTGGAGGCCATCTTTTTAAGATTCACACAGGCAGACGTAACATTTCTTCGGCTGTGAAGCGCCAATTTGACGTATCAGTAACTGGAACAAGCACCACAGACAAAAGGACTAGTAAGTTAATAAGAAGTATCAGTAAAATGGGGTAGGATTCCTTTTGGAGGAGTATACTACTAAAAGAATTCTTAGGAATAACCATCGCCCCTTTAATACAGCTGCAGCTGCAGGGGACTGTAACGACGACGTCAACGCCGAGGACAACGTCGATTAAGAAAACAATGAATGTATATTTTACCCACGAATCTCACGATACTCTTAATTCATTTAGTTTGTTTCTCAGTTATCTATGGAATTTTACGGTACCATGCTCTATCTCAGTATCATACAGGTTGATTTTTTGTCTATCATGCTACGTCAGAATATCTGAATATTTCTGGCCCTGAAATATACCCGATTCCCAGAATCTAATTTATCGGCTTGGAAGTATGTATTATATGATGAATATAGGGTAGTCAGGATCAGAAGTATTTAACCGGACAATCCTCCATTTTTCTACAAGATAAGAAAAAAAGAATCATTTATGTGATTTTCAACTTACAAAACTGAACTTCCAGTGGTTGCTTATAAGAGTATTTTATATATTGAAGGATTTACAGTTGTGGACGTCGACGCTAGTACAAACAGGAAGTGCATTCAATTCATCGATAAACGCGGTACTACCTATGCATTGAAGGTCATCAATGGTACGAACCTTCCGCGATTCGAGGTGGGTAAAAGCAACTTAAATTTAAACGTATTCGAAGCTTGTCATAGTTATTTGCACTTTTTTTACTTAATGAGTGCGACAGTGAAAGACTTGATAGAAACGGGAAACCCTGCATAAAAACTCTTGCATCAGCAGAAATAATAGGTTTTTGAAGCTTCGTTCGAAACGAAATTTCGTCCACTTGCGTCGAAAACCCCCGAAATTCCCGAATTTCGTCGAATTTCGTTTGCATTACTTTTGTACACTGTATTGGTCGTGAGATATGGCCGAAGTTCTGGTATGGAAGTCCATACTTCAATAAAACTGCACCGTTGAACGTGGATATATTGCATTCAGTAATCCCGGGGTAAATTTAAGGGGTGCTGTAAATTAACTTGTACTTTATTTTAATTATGTTCACAGCAATACGATGGATGTAAAAATTCAACTAGTAATGATTTCCTGTTTGAAGAAACCGAAACCGGCCTCGTCGAAGGAATGAAAACATTCACATATGAACATAAACGCAGTGGTGTCAGTGGCAAGATGTGTCTTGGTGTTATTGGAGGCTGTGATAAAAAATTGTATCTGTTAAGTCCAGGTGGTCCTAATGACAGGCGCTGTCTATTTTGGAAAATAATCGTGTAAATAGCGTCAAGATATTTCGTGTTTTGAATAAAATGAACGAAAGGAAATCAGCATTGGTGGTAAATTTAGCCTGGGATTACGCAGACAGGGACCATGGAGACGGAGGGCTATGAGGGGAGGGGGAGTGGGGGATGGGGCTTTAGCCCCAAACCCCAATTTCAAGCAAAAATTACATAAAATAATAATTTTACAAATATCTCCAGACCCCCTACAAGGCAGCGTCTCTGGCGCTTGTAAGCCCCCATCCCCCTCCCCCAATTGAAAATACGCTCCGCCATTCCCGGCAGTAGGTGCCACGTTTTACCATCTTATTAGCTTGCATTTCAGCCATTTTGTAATAAATGAGAGCGAAAAGGAAACCTCAGGGTAGAATAAAGACGGTATCTCAATTAAGTTTGCGAAGGGTTTGGCGCGAATGGCGAGCTTGAGCTTCTTATAAGACGTCATATTCCAATCTCAGGCCCCATTTACACGGGTCCGAACAAATGTTTGCGCGGACAAAAGTTTGCATGGTTCCAGCATGCGTTTACACGGTACCGGCGGAACTGCCCAAATTTTTGAACGGCTAAGTGTGCAAGTTTGGGACCTGAAGAAAGGAGGTCAACTTTTTGATCGGCACGGTACCATATTTCGTACGGACTCGTGTAAACACCCGAACCGTGCAACGTTTTGCTCAGATGGCGCGTTTAAGGCCTGGAATCTAGTTATGTTTTGAATGGTTGGTTAACAAAAACGAAACATTTTTTGTTGTTCTGCTCAGTACGTCTGTCGGCTAAAAACTTGCTCAGGCTAGATATGCAATAACAGCATTCATTGCGGTTCACGTTCTCCAAAATACGTAGAACTTAGTCATTTCAAGTTGTTGTTTTGCAAATGATGGGTAAGAAATGCACAAAGTTTCAAAACTGACGTGCAGAACTCCTCAGTGTTCTGCTCAATAACGTCCCGTCCACACTACGTCGGAGAAAATTGAAAACGCAGCTTTGTTTCAACGGTTTGGCCTATTCTACCATCCACACCAATGCGTCACGAAAACAGAAACGCGTTCCAAACTAAAATGGGTTTTTCCAAACTTAGCATTTTCGGTCAACCACATGCATATTTGTCGGAGCCTGCACTGTGTTCATTGTGGAAGTCAATATTCTCACCAACAACTAAACTGGTTCATGAAGAAACGCCTTTATTTAACCGGGTCTATTTAATAGTCAGAGTAAAATGACAGTTCTCAGTGGTATCAAGCCGATTAAGGATGCAGAAATTCTGCACCTTGCTCAATGTGTAATTATAAAGTTAGTGAACCCATCAATGATGCAGAAATTCTGCACTTGGTTCAATGACTAAATACACTCAAATCTACTGAACCCAACAACGATGCAGAAACTCTGCACTTTTTTCAACGACACTCAAATCTGCTGAACCCAACAACGATGCAGAAATTCTGCACCTTGTTCAATGTGTAACTATATATGTAAATTTAGTGGACCCATCAATGATGCAGAAATTCTGCGCCCTGTTCAATGACTAAACACACTAAAATCTTCTGAACCCAACAACGATGCAGAAATTCTGCACTTTGTTCAACGACACTCAAATTTGCTGAACCCAACAACGATGCAGAAATTCTGCTCCTTGTTCAATTTGTAATTATATATGTAAATTTAGTGAACTCATCAATGATGCAGAAATTCTGCACCTTGTTCAATGACTAAACACACTCAAATCTTCTGAACCCCACAACGATGCAGAAATTCTGTACCTTGTTCAATGCGTAATTATATAAGTAAATTTAGTGAACCCATCCATCAATGATGCAGAAATTCTGCACCTTGTTCAATGACTAAACATACTCAAATCTTCTGAACGCAACAACGATGCAGAAATTCTGCGCCTTGCTCAATGTCTAACTATATATGCAATTTTAGTGAACCTAACAAAATCACAAAAATTCTCAAATTATTCTGTTTTAGGAGTGACTGTGGAGTCAGGAGTCACTGTGGCTGCGGCAGCCACTCGTGGAATTTACTAAAAGTCCGATGTGTTCGTGTGTACAATTAACCCTAATTGTTTCTCGAACAGACCAATTTCCAATATACAAATAGACCGCCTGGGCTGGTGAGATATATATTCTGGCCACATGAGAAGTTGCCGACACATTAATATTGTAAACAATAACAATATCACACGTTTACGCGTAAATACACTCGCCGGCTTAGGTCTATAGTTGCGGTTTTGCCCATAGATTACGAGTAGTCCCTCTTTCGCTTAGTCCGTCGTGCGTGACGCGAAAGAAGGACTTTACCCAAGGGGAGTCTATGTTTTGTGTGTGACCTTTATTCCTACTGTGAAACTGCCCTCGGGAAACCCCTATGGATACAGCAAAGAGAACAAAAGAAATACCCACGACATTCTCAGAACCAAGTCGTGGGGTTTATCTTATATCTAAACAGGAACCGGCAGCACTCGCTGGGCACATTTTTGTGGGGTTGCGCTGAAATTGCGGCAAATAAACCCAGCGGCCACCAGATAAGATAAGATAAGAACTTTATTGATGTGAGGTATGGCCAACTTTCGTGATTAACTGTGATTACTTGATTATTTTCAGTGGTGCAAAGTTTTGTAATTCGTT